GTAGAGGTGTGACAGGACAAACGGTCCTCTGGTGACCGTCACCTGGTCTTGTACAATTGTGCTGCGTTAGTGGCCAGAACGACTAACGACAAAAGGACGCGCAATAAACAAAATACAATCAACAACAAATAAAGACTTGATGCTTGTAACCACAGGATTGAAAGACCAAAATCCAACCTGCAAATGTCAGTACTATGCCACAGAGAAAATCGCATGTAGACGAAAGAATGTTATTGACGAAAGTGGAACATTATATTATAATCAGTGCTACTACGACTTATTTTGGGATCACGAACAATCTATCATGCGTGGTCGGTACAATTAGTATTTCTACTACGTCTAGGCACTAGAGAGAGACTTGACGTTAGCAAAAGCTACTTGATACCAAATGTATCAGCTAATCAGATGACCTTAGGACTATCTGAATTACATCGCCGTTCTTGGTAAAAGCGAAGCATGATGTAATAGCTGCGATCTAAGACGAGGCAAACGCGGGTTTTCATCATCGCAGGCAGGGTTTTTAACGCGGTGGAGTTTTCAAGCGCGGATTTTTTAAGCGCGGTCTTACCCGTTTTTAAGCGCGGGTTTTTCGAGGCGTCGTTGTAGACAGTTGCATGTATCACACCTCGCGTTCAGCGGATGGTGTTCTCTCTCACTCTCGCTCTTCTTTCTTACTCTCTCTCTCTCTCCTCTTCTTCTCGCCTCTCTCGCTCTGCTCTTCCCTCTCGCTCTCTTTACTCTTTCTCTCTCTCTCTCCTTTCTCGCTCTCTCTTCTCTCCTCTGCTCTCTCTCTCTCTGGTCTCTCGTCCTCTCTCTCTCTCTCTCTCTCTCTCTCTCTTCTCTGCTCTCTCTCGCTCTCTCTTACCTTCTCTCTTCTCTCTCTTTCTCTCTCGCTCGTTCTCTCTCTCACTCTTCCTTTCTCTCTCGCTTCTTTCTCTTATCTCTCTCTCCTCTCCTCTCTCTCTCCTCTCTTTCTCCTGTCTCTCTCCTTTGCCCTTCTCTCTTTCTCTCTCTTCTTTCTCATTTATTCTCTATTCTCTCTTCTCTCTCTCTCTCCTCTCTCCTCTCTCTCTCCTCGACTCTCTCTCTTTTTATCTCTGCTCTCTTCGTCTCTCTCTCTCTCTGCTTCTATCTTACTTCTGCGCTCTCTCTTCTTCTCGCGGCGCGCTTCTCTCTCTCTCTCTCTCTCTCTCTTCTCTCTCTCTCTCTCTGCTTACATCGCTCTCTCTCCTCTACTCTCTCTCCTCTCTCTCTCACTTTACTCTTTTCTCTCTCTCTCTCTCCTCTCTCTCATCTCTCTCTCTTCTCTCTCTCTCTCTCTCTATCTTTACTCCTCTCTTCTCTCTCTCTCTCTCTTCTCTCTCCTCTCTTTCCTCTCTCTCTCTCTCTCTCTCTCTCTTTCTTCTCTTTCTTCTCTCTCTTCTCTCTTCCTTTCTTCACTATTCTCTTCTCTCCTCCTTCTCTCTCACTTCTTCTTCGTCATCTCTCTCTCTCTCTCTCTCTCTCTTCTCTCTTCTTACTCTCTCTTCTCTCTCTCTCTTCTTACTTCTCTCTCTCTTCTCTCTGCACTCTTCTCTCTATCTCTCTCTCTTACTCTATCTCGTTCTTACTCTCTCTCTCTCTCTCTCTCTCTCTCTCTCTCTCTCTCTCTCTCTCTCTCTCTCATCTCTACTCTCTCTCGCTCTCTCTCTCTCTCTCTCTTCTCTCTCTCTTATCTCCTCTTCTCGCTCTCTCTGCTCTCTCTCTCTCTCTCCTCTCTCTCCTCGTCGTCTCTCTCTCTCTCTCTTACTCTCCATCTCTCTCGCGCTCACTTCTCTCTCTCTCTTGTCTTTCCTTTCTCTCGCCTCTCTCTCTCTCTTCTTTCTCTTCTGTCTCTCTGTCTCTCATCTCTCTCTCGCCTTTTCTCTTCTCTCTTCTCTTCTCGTCTCTCTTCTCTCTCACATCTCGTCTCATCTCTCTCACGTCTCTTCTCTCTCTCTCTTCCGTCCTTCTCTTACTCTCCCTCATCTCTCTCTCTCTCGTCTCTCTCTCTCTCTTGACTTTTCTCTCTCCTCTCTCTACTCGCTCTCTCTCATCTCTCTCTCTCTCTGCTCACTCTCTCTGCTTTCTCTCTCTTTCTCTCTCCTCTCTCTCTCTCTCATCTCTCTTACCTCTCTCCTCTCTTCTCTCTCTCTCTCTCTCTCTTACTTTCTCTCTCTTGCTTGGTTCTCTCTTCTCTGCCTCTCTCTCTCTCTCTCTTCTCTCTCTCTCTCTCTCTCTTATCTATCTCTCTTACTCTCTCTCTTACTCTATCTCTCTTACTCTCTCTCTCTCGCTCTCGCAATCTCTCTCTCTCTCTTGTCTCTTCTCTCTCTCTCTCTCTCTTACTCATTCTCTCTCTCTCTCTCTCTTCGTCTTCTCTCTCTCTCTCTCTCTCTCTCTCTCTCTCTTCTCTTACTCTTACTCTCCAACATCTCTCTCGCGCTCACTCTCTCTCTGCTTTCTTTCTTTCCTTTCGCTCTCTCTCTCTCTCTCTCTTTCTTGTCCTCCTGTCTCTCTCTCTCTGCTCTCTCTCGTCTTTCTCTCGTATTCTATCTATCTTCCCCTGTTCTCCCTCTTACCTCCATCTCTCTCGGTCTTGTCCTCTCTCCTCTCTCTCTCTTCTCTCCTCCTCTCGTCTCTTCTTAGGCTCTCTCCCTCGCTATCTTATCTCCTTAGCCCCCACTGCCCCAGTTCTGCACTCTTTCCCATTTGCTCGATGCGCACTTACCACTCGCTTCAATATATACCCAGAATTCACGATTGCAGTGAAGGGAAGGCATTCGCATGCCACCAACATTCACTCATCAACGCCAGCTAATCTAAAGTTCAGCGCACACGGTAAAGAAAATTTTACTCAAGTAAATGATGCATGCGTCAAAATACTCAACCGGAAAATCCGCGACACGTGAGTATTTTGAGGATGCATTATTTTACTTGAGTAAAGTTACTCACGCGTGCGCCGGGCTTAACTTGCGCAGCCGACATCGCCCTACACATACGTACCACAGTCTGCTCTGCCATCTCGGCCATGACTTGCCCCGGCTGCGTACCCGTGTGTGGGCCTCTCTCTCTCTAACCCGCTAGGCACGGGCCAAAGTTCGCCCACCCTAGCTCCATCTAGCCGCGCGCAGCGCCACCGCGTATCGACACTCGATGACTTATCAACGTATTGACGACGTATTGACTGTTGCGCATTACCCGCACGCAAACACTGCTCAAGGTCACGCGGCTAAACATAGCTGTAGAGCTGTCGCCGCGGGCGCCCTCTTTTATCTACGCCCCGCGGGGCTATGCTCTCTTGAAAAAGAAAAAAACTCACCAAAAAGGTGGACCCTCGCAGTGTCGGTGGCAAGCACGCACACGTGGGTGAGCACGCACACGTGGCGCCCTTACTAGCTAGCCGTCGTACGCACACAGGCTGCATTCTCTAGGGAGAGCGAGAGGGGGAGTAAGGTATAAACAGTTCAAGAGAAAAAGGACGAGAGAGCGAGTGAAAGAGAAAAAGAAAGAAAGAAGAGGGAAAGCGATAGATAGAGAGGGGAAGAGAGAGCACGCGCGCGCGAGAGAGAGACAGAGAGGGAGAGAGAGGTGAAAGAAAGAGAACGCACGAGAGAGAGAGAGACCGCGAAAGAGGGAGATGGAGAGAGAGTGATGATGCGTGTTAGCATGCATCGCTGAAAGGCGTGAATCAAGATCGATGATCAGTGGCAGCGGATGACGTCATTGACCATCCGTCAGCATGAAATTTAAGCTGACGATGTAACAACAGAGGCTAGCGACTACACGCGCGCAGTAACGATGGCAACGGTGCGTCTTCTGACGTCACGACGTGAGAGCGAGCTACAAATCATAAACTAGTGTGTTGTGTATGTGTGCGATTGAGAGAGAAGAGAGGCGAGGAGAGAGAGATGAGAGAGAGCTGGAGAGAGAGAGAGAGAGATCGAGAAAAAGAGGAGGAGAGATAAAGGAAAGAGAGAGAGTAGAGAGAGCGAGAGAGGGAGAGAGACGAGCGCGACGAGAGGGAGGAGAGAGAAAGAGAGAAAGATCTGAGCGCGGCGCAGAGAGCGATTGGTGAACGATAGGAGAGCAGACAAGACGAGAGAGAGAGACGACGAGAAGAGTAGTTTATAAGAGAGAAGAGAGATTGAGAGAGAAGAAAGACGATGACGAGCTGGACGAGAGATGAGAGAGAAAAACGAAAGCAGAGAGGAGCGAGAGCGGGAGAGACGAGAGAGAGAGAGAGCGCGAGAGAGAGAGAGCGAGAGAGAGAGAGAGTCTTTCTTGCCCTCTTTTTCTCTCGCTCTCTCGTGGGCCACGCGGACGACACCCGTGCGATACTTGAGAGTGATGTACTTACGTAGAACACATCCGATGTTGCTGTCGTTGCTGTGCTGCTACTACTTTTGCTAGTCTATTCCTACTAGTGGCATTACTATCCGGACACACTACTGCTGTTCGTGCTACAACGGGTACGTACGTGATTTCGCTGATAGAAACGTTCACTTGTTGGGTCCACTCAATGTAATTCGCCATGTTAGTGCTAAACTACTGAGACAAGTGACGCCTTGCTTGTGCTGCTGCGTCTTCATCCTGTCATTGTTGCTTTTGGCGCGAAAATATGAGTCGCTGTTCGACAGCAGACGCATAGATGGCGCGCAGCCGACGTCCCGGATGTGAACCAACGTCCCGGATGTATGTGAGCAAATGTTGATTGCTCATAGCTGATTTCATTTCCCGGACGATGGCTAATGTCCCGGATGAGAACTAATGTCCCGGATGAGATAGGGCGTATGGCCCGCATCCTTACAACAGCCAAACGACTCCCTGGCGACAACCGTGCTCTCCACCAATTACGGCGTTCGTTGAGAATACGTCATTGCCCACGTGTTCCCCCTACTCCATAACTTCTCGAGCTCGAGTCTCCGTGCCTTCTCCCAGCCCTTCCCAAGGATGGCTACCCGTTCTATTACTACACTTACATCCTCCTCCTCCTCCTCCTCCTCCTTCTCCTCCTCCTTCTCCTCCTCTTCCTCCTTATTGCTGTAGACGGTGTCAGAAGGAGGAGCTGCGAGGAAGGAATCGGCTGCGACGGAGGATACCAGAGCTTCCTCTACGGGAGCCTCCAGTTTCTCAAATTCGTCCGATCCGTCTGTCTCCTCAGTTCCATTCTCTTTCGCTGTCTCCAGCTTCTGGTGGCAGTTTGAAAGGAAGACATTGTTATTTAGCAGATCACGTGGTTGTTTATTATTATTATTATTGCTATTGCTATTCTTCCTCATCATCATCTTCTTCTTCTTATTCTTTTAATCATTATTATTATTATATTACACGCGCACGTACGAACACACACTGACACTCAAACGCTTTCGCAAGTACGCGCGCGCGCACGCGCACACGCATGCGCACACACATGCGCGCGCATGCGATGTACTTATTCTCACACATGTATATATGCACGCACAATCTTCATAACAATTGAAAATAGACGAAGGTATATTATATTCACCGCGACGGGCTTGCCTGCATCCGGGTACTTGTCGAGGAATTGACCAACATACGTCATGATTGACTTCTCATCCGGTTTCTCCACGTCCACGTCTGTAAACCAGCAAACACCATGCGCAGACTAACATAACCATGTCTATAACAATAGCACAGCATCACGCACGCTTACTATTACTCACAGTAAACATCGTACTGAATAAAACCTCATCGAATGCATCCAATATCATTGTATGTATCAACGTGTGCTGTGATCGCGACGAGCGACATCTCGTGGCCGTAACGCGCACTAATGATTAGGGAGGATGACGAGGGGAGATGTGAAAACATGCGTGTTGACTTGCGGTGTTATTGTAAACGCCAGAGGGGCGATGAATTAAATCATTAGATAGCGATGTAAACATTAATTTAATTATCAATGGAGGCAGAGCGTTGCCCCGGGAGACTGCAACGTGACGCATGCGCGTCGACGCGAGAGAGGAGGACGCCGTTGTGCGCATGCGCGTGGAGCTGCCAAACGTCGCGCGGGTTTGATCCTTTAAAACTCGCCTAGAGATCGTTCGTTATCTTCGTCTGCCTTTATCTCTGCGAAGATCCACGACAGTAACGTCTCCTGCCATGATGTAGATGGCGTCACGCTACTGTCTGATCCACCCGCTGTCACTATCTCATCCGCCGCCTCTATCTCTTCTTTAACTATCTCTTCTTCGTTCTCATCCTTCACCATCTCCTCTTCCTCGGCGTTTTTAACATTCTCTTCTAGGTTTGCGTCAACGTGAAACGCGCCCGCATTATTAACTTCACATTCGCGTAATATTTCCTCCATAGATGTCGCCACATCCGCACTGCCCTCGCCGCGTTTACCGGCGTTTCGCTCTTCTGCGTTAGTTTCCGCTAAAATTTCGCGGTTTTTACTTTTTTCGGAAAAGAAGTAAGCTCGGTAGCCGGTCAGAGCCGCCATGTCGCACGCACACGGGCACCTACTCCCAACAACTGCAGCGCTATACTGCCCAGCATCGGCCGGTTTTGTGTGCGTCTGCGCGCGCGTATCTGATGACGTGGCATGTGCTGCGTATAGCCACGTCGCTTCTGCCACGTCGGCACTCACACCGGCCGGTGTGTGAGTGAGCGACGGATATAGCGGTGACGACAGCGAGTTGTACTGACGATGGTCAGTTCAGCGGGGTGATACGCACGCACGCACACACGCACGCGCACGCACGCCCGAGCATGCACATAGACACGAACATTGACACCTACAAACCGGCTCCCACGACCAAGCCCGTAACGCATGTATACGCACAACGAGATTCCGAGAGAGAGAGAAAGAGAAAAAAGGGCAGAGAGCGGATAAGAGAGAGAGAGGGGAAGGCAGACGGGAAGAAAGAGGGAGAGAGAAGGATAAAGCACACACAATACCCACGAAAAGAAAGACACGAGTACGCACATACCGAGCGAGCAAGAGAAAGAGAGAGAGAGAGAGAACGCTCGACTGAGAGAGAGAGACACACAGCGAGAGATGGTGAAATCAACATACAAAAAGAGCGAGTGACAGACATGCATCCTGCGAATAACACAGAGAAACAGAGAATAGAGAGAGACAAACAACCAGACAAAATGAGAGAGAGACCGCGAGAG